GTAATTTGCGTACAAGAAGACATATCTGGGATTACAGTGATTCAACAGGAAAAAAGGTAAACTAACTTCGTGAAAAATATCAATAAATTGGAAATAGACCTTCAATATTTACGGATTTACTGGTAATAAAAAAAACCCTTAGATGAACCCCATAATTTTTTATACAAATGATAAATTGAAAAAATATAAAAAAATAATTTACTTTGCTAACATTCAGTAAATACATTCTCTTAGATTTACAGGATTCAAATAGATACTTTATATATAAATTTCTTTCATATATTCATAAAATAATCATTTTAATGTAAAATAAACTATATGTGTTATCTGTAAAATGCACAAAGATTAAAATATTTAATGATAAATCATATAGATCCCTTTAATTTAGAAAAAATATTAAATTAAAAGAGGTCCTTAAATTATAGCAAATATTTTCTGTACCGGGGTCATATAGCCTGGGATACATAGGCGTAGCCAAGGGGGGGGGCAAGGGAAAATCTCCCCCTTCAGAAATTTATCACTTTTTGTGAATATCATTTTAAGCTAATAAAAAAATATCCCTCTTAGTCCTCCCCCCCCCACTCTCTGACCCCCAAAAATGTATGCATATATCTTAAACAATAATTTGGAAGAAAGAATGTAAAAGTTGATATTTTTTTATAAAACTATTCATCATAATTTATATATTTTTGGAAAAAAGCATTTATATATAAAAAAATTGAACCAAAAATGTTTAAGAAATGTAATATAGAAGCCAAAAGTGAAATGCATTATAATTATTAATAATAGATCCATAAAATTACTAAATAATGTAATATATCAAATATAATTTTTTATAAAGTGAGTAATTTTAATTTATTTATCTTAATAAACGTAAAATATAATTATAAAACTATTGATAAAACTAAATCATACATTAAATAAAAAAATTAAAGCTCAATACAAACAGTGGAATTATATGTCGTAGATTTACAGTATATCCAATGACATATATATGTCATTGTATATATCTAATTTTTTCAATTATCATATGACAATCAAGTAATTTTTACCAATTTAGCGAATTATATATTTTACAGAAAACTATAAAATATTGATAAGGACATCAGAAAATATCTTTTAAAGACATTGTGGGATGAATAATATGAAGATTAATTTTTAATATCAATTTTTTTAAAAATAAATAGATGGCGTTAAATAATTGAATATATATTTTTTATCAGAGCATTGATTAGTAAAATTTGTTATAATATTAACTGTAATATATTCGCTAACTGTCAAATATGTCTATAAAAGTGGAATTTTACCTAGTATTTTGTAACTAATTCTATATAATAGAGGAATATCAACTATATGTCTACTTTTTATAAATAAATTTCTTATACTTGTTTAACCAGGCTTTTATATTAATGTATATACAATTAATTTATTATATTTTATATAAACTAATAAAAATATATTTCATATTTGTTCCAGGCTTATTTTTTTTATTAAAATAAACCTCCTATCTTGTAAAAATATTTAATGACTATATATAGACTAAGATAACCCGGCCGAAGGCCCGCCAAAAATGGGGTCTAGGGGCGAAGCCCCCAGTAATTTTTTAATTCCCCCCCCCCCTTAGAAAAATCCTGGCTACGCCTGGGATATATTATATAACAACAAATATGGTTACATTTGGTAGCACAAATATTAATTTAAAGGAAAAAGTGAATTACATATTTGAATTTAACGAAAGTAAACAATAATATAATTAAACCGGACGAATCCTGAACTTACTATATTACTTGATATTCCCACATACAAAACTAAAGTCATAAGGTTTGCAGCGGGGGCACGTTATTACTAATAGGTGGGAGCATGTATAAGGGAAAATAGAGACAGCAATTTATTTATAAAAATGTAAAGCGAAATTAAATTTTTTAATTTTCATATATTTCTTTTAATAGTTCGACACACACTGACTGCTGCACTTGCCCTCATTCAGTTTGATAAAGGGGGGAAGCAAATAAATATGTAGTTGAATGTACAGGCTGCTATAAAGGACGAGAAAACACTAATTATATTATATAAATTTAAAGCACAGAAGTCAAACAAAACTGCAAAATGTCCAAGGGAATGGTTACATAGATGGTGGCTAAGGCCAAATTACTGCCAGACATCATAATACAGCAACTTCACGCTAAATAAAATCTGCAGATTAAGAAGAAATCAAAAAAAAAGATTAAAAATTGTTTATAAAGAAAAAGAGATAATGAATAAATGAAAAGAATATTTTGAGGAGCTTCTCAACTTTAATCTCTTCATTTTATATCTAGACCCACCATGTCAAGATGTATGAGAATTATAAGGCTAGAAGCCCTGATTTTCTTCCAATAGAAGTTTTAAATCACTAATAGATGAAGGAACTTTACAATAAACAACTGAAATTGAAGAGATTCCTTAAATATCTATCTTCAAAAATAAGGGGGGACTCATATAATTGTCTAAATTGCATGAGCGCAAAACTAATGTCACATTGTCTAAAACCTACGAAAGAATTATCGAGTCACAAAATACTTTCTCGATCTAAAGAAATCTATCGTTAGAATTCCAAGAAAGCTTAACTAGGGGATTTGCAATACAAAAAGACACCAGAAATATATATAAGAATTATATAGGAAATGTATAAAAACCAAACGATAATGATCCAAGGCACAAATAGCATATCATAAGGAGGTTTCCTAAGGGAGTTCATAGAAAGTAGGCTCTCATACTGTTCTTATGTTATTGAAGTCTATCTCTGAATCAACCCCCTGAAATATGATATTTGCAGATGATATTATAACATTTGCTGAAATAAATAATGAAATAAAAAAGTTGAATGAATATCTTAGGTAAGCCTTGACTTAAAGTCAACAAAAAACTTATTATATGGTAATTGGTGGAGATGGAATGGATAACATAGACATGTATTGACCGTTGGAAGATGAGAATATTTCAGTCCTCCTTTTCAAAGCAGTGAGACATTGAAAAAGAAAAAAATATTATCAAGGATAATTACATTTTACGTCAATCCAGCGTTCAATTGAATTTATTTTGTTAATGCGTAAAAAGATTTTATTCACTATTGACTATTGGGGAAAAAATTATAAATTGAATTATGAGCCATAAACCCCAAAAAATTCATTGTACAATTTTTTAAGATACAAAATATTTTTAATAAAATATTATAACTTATACTAGTTTTATTAAGAGTAGATTTTTAAAACTTTATAATCTAATCACATAATATTAACTTAGAGACCAACAGATCTGACAGAGTTAAATTAGGCCCAAACCTTGAAATTAATTACTTGAGAGCCGTAGTTACGTGGTGACATTGTAAATTAAAAAACTAATCTAAATTATTAAATTCTAACAAAAAATGATATAATCATATAAAAATAGCTGAGTTATGTTTTTTTAATGAAAAATGTCTTAATGGTTAGAGGAAATGTCAAACACGTATTAAGTTACATATGAATATTCGAATTAAATTTTATATTTTAAGTGTTAAAGTACATCTTTTCACAAAATTTTTATTATTTTTTTTGACTTAATGATTTTAAAAAATTCAAATTTGGGACCGAGTATCCGAATATTTTTTTGTGCATCTTGAAAGCATGAAATAAAATGTACGTGGCAGAGCATATTAAGAGCACTACGCAGAATAGGACGAGATATGTTACTAAAAAAATTTTGAGATGAAATTGAAATTAGATGTTAAATGTATATTTTAAAATAGATTCTAATCCATTATTTCGTATAAATTTTAATAAATATCTAACAGTGGAGACAAATAGTATAATTTATTTTAAAAAAGGGTTAGACAAAAGTCCATCCTAGATTTAAAACTTCCAAAATCGGTATGAAGTTACAGTTGGAAAGTAAAAATACTAAAAAAATTCAACGAAGTCAACTTAAGTTATGCAATGTGAGCGATAAAGTCAGGAGGATTCTAACATTAAGTTTTTAGTGTTAAAAGTTTTTAGTAGTAAAATATAGTTAAGACCTTTTGATTCACTCCATCAATGTTTTTTACTCCTCAAAGAAAATTAAATTACAAAAAATTAATCAGTTTCAGGGTAAGAGATAAAATATTTTGATAGTCAAAAAGAATTAAAATGAGTGTTGGTAAATGGTTGGTTATCGACTTAGTCTCAACTCATAAGTATTTTTAATCAAAAAATCAACATAAACGTGAGCATACTCCGAGATTTGGCATATATAGATGCCAGAAAGGTTTGGCCCAAATTTTTTGGCTAAAATCTTAATTTAGCGTTTAAAAAGAAACTAGATTAAGGGGGGTTTTATATAACCTGATATAACAAAAGAATTGGGTTTCTGTAGTGGTGATAGTCATTTTCGCCGATATAATAAATTTTTGATGAAAAGGCAGCATATTTGGTAAGAAAAAAAATATTTGAAATGTGGTAGAATATGGAAGCATTAAGCAGATGATCTCAAGATGACGTGGAAGAGTCTATACCCACCTTGCCCTTTATGGGAAGGGGAAATGTCTACCCTTTCCAAGTTCCACTTCTTCTTCAAAAAGAAATTAGTACGCTTGGGGAAATATTCATATAAAAAACTGAAATCATAACTTTTATGATTATATAAAAAAGAAACTCAGTTGAATCCCACCAAAGCAAAAATATAATATTGTCAAAAAATATATATTAAACTTGACTATATTTGACTGGTGAAAGTTAGACCAGTCAAATTGCAAAAACTAATTTCTGAAAAAGATTTTCATTCAATAGTGACAAGCATTTCTATTAACCAGGGTGCCTTAATATTTTTATTTTATAATCCCACCCCCCCCCCCCCCACAAAAAAAATAAATATCGCAAGCAATACCCCAAATAACATGCTTATGATTACAATTTGAATCTTTAAAAAACATCGGATTTATTATATAAAAATTGCTTCATTATTATATAAATTGATTTCTTTAAAAGAAATTATATAAATATATTAATTTGTGCCAAATTTTACAAAATTCATATATAAAAACAAAATGGCTGGTTATCAAACATAAATTTTAAAAAAATATATATAAAGTATAAAAAATTCATTTAAAAAAAATATATATAGAAATCACATTTGAATTTTTAAATAATATTCTGTGATGAATTTGCTAAGTTTACATGTTGAAGAATAGATTAAATATCAATCTCATGGAATATATTACATGTAATTTTAAAATATATATATATTAAATTATAATGATTTTTCCATAAATTTTTTTTAAATACAAAATTTCATATTAAACTATAGGTGGTCATTAGAAATTAAAAAAAAACTGAATTGATTTGAGAATAACTTAATAAATTCATTAAGTATACTTAAATTATCAAATAAAAATAAAAAATAATATTTAGTAGAAAAATGGCGGAAATTTGTGACAAATGTAATAAAAATCAGCTTATTTTGCAGGACAAATGATTTAATAACATTATTTTTACATAATTTCCAAATTGGTGTATATTAATCGAATAAAAAAATTCATAAAAAGAAAATGCGATGAAAATTTTATATTATAATGATATTATACCCTAGATTTGAATAAATTCTTTACATTACAATGTAGGTATTATATGAATGTTAAAAGATTATGTTATAATGTTTCCAAGAGGATGCATTTTTAGGAGGAAAGTTTTTAAAACTTTAAAACTTTCATAATTTTTTGGCATTAAGAGTTTAGTTCTTCTAAATATATTATATTTAGGACAAGACTTATAATATAATAGATGAAAGAATTAATTGATAATTCATCTTTTTTTCAAAAAAAATGACAATATAACTTTGATTTAAATGCTAACACCAACTATATATATAATATATTAAAAGCTACAATAAAATGACAGAATGCATATATTAAACCAATTCGATTCTGGAGGTTATTCCGATTTTTAGTTTACTTAATTACGTAATTAGTAAATAAATAAATTCCAAATAATCGGCTTTAAAAATAAAGGCTTTTGGAAGAAATAAAAAGTGTAATAATTTACAATGAATTAACCGGTTAAAAAAAAATAAAAAATTTGAAAAGAAAGAAGAAATAATCTAATTATTTAAAGTTACACTGGATTGCCATTATGAAATTTATTTTTCTTGCAAGTTTCTTCATAGTCAAAACGAGCTTTTTCTCTTTCCGATGAATAATAATATTTACCATCCGAGCTTTATATCAAAAAAAATATTCTGTTAATTTATACTGATAAAAAAAAATAAACTTATATATAAAGAAAGGCTATATATAAATATTTAACGTTAAAATAATTATAAACATAGACATATTAAAATGAAGGTGAATAATAAAATTATCTTAAAGCTTAAGAAAAATATAATTTGGGGTTATGTAGGGTAAAAATCAAACACCTCATAACCCCACTTCTTTCAATTTCGATAAAATTTGTAGGCACGTATTATATTCCTAGTTAGATTAAAAACGAATCTTTAGCTCGTTAACGATTATATTATTTAAAATGGGGATTTATGGTACAAAAATTGAGCTTTTCTATTCTTTGTCGCTGCTAAATAATTAGTTATAATCAATTAAGAACTAAATCAATTTGAATATTAAATTTCATAGTTATAACTAAGTCAATAATTGATAATTAGGGGAAAAACAAAAAATAAATTATTTTTATACAGTCGTTTTATATCATTTAATCTACAAAATATAGGAGTTACAATCCTACTTCTCGTTTATTATTTTTCTAATAATTTCTTAGATAATTAACGCGGTTGCTTAATTTTTTTCTAAAATTATAGTAAATAATGTATTAAAATGTATAGATGGCGCTATATATATAGAATATATTGATCTTAGAACCAAGAAAGTGTTGTTTATCCTTAGCTATGATTCCGCGGGGTGAGCCTAATTCCATTTCGAATAGATGAGACTTGGTTTGAAGGTTAAATTTGTATATTTTATATAAATCAAAATTTTAATGACCTAGCTCAAATATATCGAAGGTTATGTATGGGCCTTCAAAGTTCGATGAGAGCCTTTTCCTCTTTTAACGAATCTTATAATATACAAAATATTTTTGGTTCAAAGTAATAAATTATATATCATTTTGTAGCCCTTAAAATTTTCCTTAAGAAAATGCAAAAATTATTTTAAAAAATATTTTCAGTGTCGTCGTATTTCCGGTAAAACAAAAAAAAATTTGTTTATTACTAAAATATATATATTTAAATAAAAAATATTAATGAAGAAAATAAGGATTATTTAGTTTTTATAATTTTAGAAATAAATGACAATTATAGAGGGAGTTATTTTTAAAGTTAATATAATATATCTTATAAATATAATATGCATTTTTAATTATAAATAACTATAAATATTTCTATAAATTTATTATATATACTAGAAATTTGTAAAAAATACATATTGTTGTACCCCAATAAAAGGAAAATATATTATAATTATCTTTATAGAGCGTCTTCTATAACTGATATTTTTATTCCTAAAATTATAAAAACTAAATAAAATTTAAATTCTTTCCTCCACTAATATTTTTTTACTTAAATATTTAAATATAATGATATTTGATCAATTTAATCGTTTCAAAAGCCCTTTATAACTGATTTTTCTTTTCCATAAAAACAATTAAATAAAATTTAAATTTTTATTTTCTCCATTAATATTTTTACTTAAATATATAAATATATTGATAATAAACACGTTTCATCATTTTAAATGGTGCACTTTTCAAAATAATTTATTTTTGTTTTACCAGAAATACAAAGACATTGAAGATATTTATAAAATAATATTTGCATTTGGAGATAAGGGCTACAAAATTATATATAATTTGTTAGACCAAAAATATTTTAAGTATTTAAGATTCGTTAAAAGAGGAAAAGACTCTCATCGAACTTTGTAGGCCCATCACTCGGGAAATATTTGAGCTAGGGCATTAAAATTTACATTTGTATAAAGTATATAATATATATAACCTCTATGCCAAGTTTCATTCATTTTAAAAATGGTCGTTCAAATTTGATCGATTTTTCTTGGAATTACCCAATAACTGGTAGGTGGAAAATAGAAAAAATGATCATCTAATTTACAGGAGGAGAAATTTCCAAATCGCAAGACTTTAAATCATTTTTAAATATTCATTGACTTATAAAAAATTAGCACCTTTTTTCGTTAAGTTCACTGCTCTGACTGAGAGTATTGATTCCATTTTTATTGCGTTGCCCGTTAGCTATGTTTTTGTTATTTGTTATATGACATGTTTTTTCTAAGTACAGGGTCAGCAAAGCCCCGATAGTAAATATTACAGAGGCCCAAGCCAGGCCGTAAGACCAGCTCATCTCGAATCTGCGAAAGTTTATATTTTCATAATCATTGTGCTGTGGATTTTCAAATTTAAGCGATTTTTGTAGCGATTGGGAAAATTTGTGGGTTGTTTTGATGTAAAGAATGGAACGACGAAGTTGTATGGGGAATATAGCCAAGCCCAAGGATGCGGTTATTGCTAGAATATTAAAGAAAGACGATTGATAAAATAATTTATTCAAAATGTAAAATAAGTTGTATTTTTTGGTATTTTTTTATACGTTGTTTGCTTCTAGCAAAAATTATTTTTATTAAATTCTGTTTTTAAATTAATATAGAAGTTTTTGATATATTACTTAAGATAAAACAAATTTAAATATATTGAGCATGTTTGTTAAATCGATCAGGCTTCGTGGACCTCTTTCAAATGGAATGAAACTTGTCATGATGATTCAATATGTTGTGAGGACCTGTGTAACTTAATTTTTTAAGCTCTAATTCAATTAGTTCCTGAAATATAGCGAATCAATGATACAAAATGGATCCCTTCCTAATCCGAAAAAACCGATAAAAATAAAGATTACTTAAAAAATATAAATGATAGAGACCTATATTTGGTATCATTAAGCCCATGAATTCCTTTCTTAAAAATAACTTAATTCTCAGGTTTTCATCTTCGTAAAAGGTAAAGGTTGATATTAATATGTACTTGAGCTTAAAATTTTCTAAAAAATGATATATATATTTATTTAATCTATATAAATTTATATTGAAAAAAAATTAATAACTATTGTTTTTTTCGTTATTTAATATTTTCTAATTATTTTTCTATAAAAAAAGTCATAATAAATAGCGATGGGCTAAAAAAAATTAATATTTTATTAAAAAATATAATAAAAATATATACTTTTAAAAAACAACATTTATTTAATTTTAAAATAAAATATCATTATTTAGACATTGATTTCCATTTTATTGTGATTTTTAAAACGTTTGTGGATGTAAGCATGTGCCCTATTGTTAAGGGATTTACAATTCCATAAAAAACTTTTTCAACTTTTTCTTTATTAATTCATTACCTTTGTGAAGTTCCAAAAATCAAACATTGGAAGGTAACGAGTTCATTTTTTGATAAAATAAATTTGAGCATTTTTCTATGAAGGGGTTATAGTTTATGATATGATATGAGATAATAAAATTTTTTTTGAATTAAAATTTTATATAAACTATTTTTTTAAGTTTTCTCGAAATAAAATCATAAAATATGCAAATTTTAACAGCTTATAAAATTAAACAAAACAAGTTTAAAAAATGTTTGTTTGTATTTTTAAAAGGAAAAAGATATGGCGAGACAAGACACATCCTTTTCTAATTTATAAATTAAAACAAAAGAATTATCCAACGCTAAAATTGATATTTCAAAAATTAAACATTGGTGATTAATGGGGTACAAAACTTTGAATAATAAAAATAGATATATAGTTCGCTCTACCTGAAGAGGGGGAGGAGGCCTTTTTATCTCTGTCAATAACAATAAATTGTATATCCCCAAACCAGCAACTGGGAATACCTGCACGCTCACATCCTTAGACGTTTTAAAAATCACAAAATGGATATCATACTAAATTTTAATTATATTTAATTAAAATTTTTAAAAAATTATCTAGACATTTGAACACATCATCTATATAATTTAATTACTCCTTTTTTATCAAAAATTAGAAAAAGTTAAATAACTAAAAAAACAATGGTCCCAACCTAATTTTTTTCAATATAAATTTATATTGATTTAATAAACATATATTCAATTTTTAGAAAATTATAAGCTCAAGTACATATTAAAAAGTTAACCTTCACCTTCGCCGGAATTAAGTCCTCTATAATGAGTAACTATATCAACGTGTTAAATTTTCATGGAAATCTTGTTAATTACAAATAAAATGAAACAAGAATATAATTATTAAGAAGCGTATGGCTATATTTAATTAATTAGAGTTTAAATCATCTTTATCATTTTCTAGAACCGCAACGTTTATTTCATAGATTAGGCCGTGTTAATTCTTGTATTATTTCATAACAGTGGTCTGTTTAGGCTATTATGAATTACCACGTCTTTGAATAATTTGTACCGACAAAAATATTTAAATAACAAATTTATTTAATGTGCAAACTTAAAACAAATCAGAATAGGTTGTGATAGCTCAAGGTTGAATAACCTTGGTTAAACATAAAAGTTTCCAAAATAATCCGACTTAAAGCTGGAAATAATCATAGATAAAAGCTTTAATCGGAGTACTGGGCCCCGCAACATTTCTAACCGAATTCGCCCAGGTTAGATTATTTTAAACGATATCCAAACAGGGTCCTACTAATTTTTCAGAAAGTTTAGTTTAAGACTAAAGCGCATGCTCGCTTCAGAACCTTGGTTTAAATTTTATCTAACGAATATGGTGGGTTAATAATATTAATCGATTAAAAATGTTTATATAATATACCGGCTATAAAAAGTGTTGTTATGGTGGCGTTCGTACACAGTGTAGGGTTAAGGGTAATCATGGTTAGCGTAAAAAATGCAATAGAAAAAATAAGGAATAGCATGGAACAGGATATAAGCATCAAAACCACCAGTCGCCAAGCTATAAAAAAAGGAATTAAAATGAATTTTTTTATAGTTACTAGTACAACCCGTTTATAAAACTCTTCGACGGACTAGAAATTATTCCTGAGAATTACTTAAACTCTTCTCGGTTCATTTTTTAAATAATATAAAGTGAGCTTGTCTAATTCGGGCATTTATCTAACTTAAAGATACGTGTAGGGGAGGAGGTTTTCAATATTATTTTTTACCTAATAAAAAAAGGGACAAATAATCTCAGTACTAGTGCTTTAAAACAAGATTATTTTATAAAAACATTTTTGTCAAAGAAATAAGCCAATGGCTAAAATTCAATCCTAAATTGATTTAATTAACGTGAATAGCGAGAGAAGAAAAAATTTATAGACTATTTCCTTTTCTTTTGTGGAATGTAAAATTTATTTATTAGTTATAAAAAAAATTAATTTTCCACAAGTTACAACAACATTTGACGAATGGTTGAGAAAATTTAATGTGTATTTTTTTTGATTTAGAGGGGGGAAATATAATACATAAATTTTTTCAATTATTATTTATAAGAATCTTTTTATGAAAAAAAATTTTTCGTTAAAAATAAAATTTAAGATTCAAAACTTGATAAAAATTTTTTTAATATTGACTCATTCATGAAAAAGAAGCATTAAATTAGCGTTATTCATCTTTATCATATAGTTAGGACATTCAAAAAGAATTGAAATAAATTGGCATTTGAGCTAGTAATCTGCATCGGACCTAATTTTTCAATCTCGGCCCGATCCTGAACAAAAATTTATTAGTCCCGAAAAGCCTGACCCGAAATAAAAATTATTCGTCCGCCCGGTCCGAATTTATTTAAACATAGAAAATTTAATTTTTTATTATTGTAAAAAAAATATTCTACAAATAAAAAATATTAGCGCCTTGTTTCTTGCAAGAATTTTAAATTTAATCAATTTATTGACATGTAATGATATCATATTTAAAAATTTAAACCAGACCCGGCCCGACCCAAAATTTTTTAAAATATATTAGGCCCGACCTAGCCCGAACTGAAATTATTAGATCCCGGCCTTGGGTAGTGATTTGCAAATCTCTAGTTTGAGCTAACTGCGAGTCAACATAAAGTCCGGCTCAGGCCTAGAAATTATATATATAAAAAGGTCATACCTGGCTCAGGCTTTAAAAAAACGGGCCTGGCTTGGACCAAAAAGGAATTTACAGGGCTCTAATTGGGGAAGATTCGTTGAATATAAAGTATAATTGGAAAATCTAATAATTAAGAATAACAAGAATGTATGTTTCTTATGACTAGACTGATTAATCGATTTTTTTTCTCGGCTATTGGATTCTTAAATTATTTCCTATCGAATATAAATAATGAGAGTTTTGAGAAAGTAATTACTAAACCGTAATACATCAATCATAAATATATGGTCAGGGTAAAGTAAATATCCTAATGTTTGACTAACTTGGAATTGCTAAACTCTGTCCGTTATTGAATATTATATGACAGCCTGGATTTCTCATGTAAAAGGTTTTATCGACGTAAGCAGGGTATTCGAACGATCCTTCCGGGTGGATGGCGGACGTTAATTCATTCGTCAATATATCCGTTGAGAAAGTTTTATCGAAATCGAATTTGGTCACACATATTTTCCAGAGGCCACTTTTAAACCCGTGAGATTCGACCCAGGAAGACGAAAGGAGACTAGCCAATAGGGTTATTATAGCCATGGTGATACATATTAGCACTTTAAACTTATTTATAAATTTATGAAGTGAAAATTATATAATATGCAAAAAAAAAGGTTTAAAATTATGATTTACTGTTAGGTTCAGCTAATTATATTCAACCTACAGGTGTGTACATAGGAAAATAAGTCTGCATTGAGGCGTTAGTTAAACTTATGTCTTCTTCAAGCTTATACTATACTAACGAGCTTAATAAAAAGGATGAGGTGATAGTTTTCGGCTAAAATAATGTTTGACTATTTTTTAGCCGGCAAATAGAACAAGTACAGAAATTACCAAAAAAAAGTAATTATATATTATTTTAAATTTCATAATTTTTTTTGCTAATATTTTTGAAAATGATCTTTTTTGGCTAATAATTTCAAAATGATCTTTTTTTAGCTAACAATTTCTACATTACTTTTTTAGCCAGCAATTTTTCTTTTTTTAAAAAATTCAAAATTTTCAGGGGCCTTTCCAAATTTTTCAGAAGGTTTAAGCCTCCATGCACCTTTCCCTCTAGTGACTTTACTGAAGTGTTGTTAAACGAATTCATAAGCCAGAAAAATATTGCCTAAGTCTCGAGATTTCGATAATATATGTCTAGACCTTTGTTCCTTCTATGAGCAAAATCTTCAGGCTTGAGTAATATTTTTCTGGATGAAATATTGAGCTAGCTTTTTTACTACTGAATAAGGATAAATTAATAACGTGGACCATTAGTTAAGAGATGATAATGACGAAATATCAAGAATGATGATAATGTGGATCAATAATAATAAAATATCATATAATGCGAATATGATACTGATTACGTATTGAATGATAAATACATATAATCCCAATCACAGTTAGGATAATCGACGTCAACATACAATATTTATCCTACGGGATACACGATATCGACCTACCACTAACAATGAAAGCAATAAAAACTATTTAAACATTAAAAAAAATATATAAGAAAAACAAAAAATAAATCAACCGATCGTAGGTTCACATTATATTAATAATTTCAAAATATTATACTATTCTGCCAGCAACGGAACTAATAAATAGCCACTATATAATACTTTATCCTTCTACACTATTCTGGCAAGCTACATAGAGGTACCGTCCTCTATAATAAAACGGGTCAGACATCATGTATGGGATATATATACATATATTAGTGAAAAATGTATGATCCAACTCCTTCGTGGGTCTGATAATAAAAATACATATTTTAGTGGAATTTTATTTAATTCAATATTGCTTAAAATTTATCTAAAATTTCCCCTTTACTTTACACTAGAAAAAGTAATTAAAATTATTTTGAAGAATATTTTTTCGAAAAAATATTTATATCCATCCTACCCAACCCAGTGATTACTAGTGATAAAATAAAATGTAGCATTAATATAATATATAAATTTTAAGAAATTTCGAATTAATTAAAATCGGAACTGATTAGCTATTGGGCATTTGGTTTCAAATTTGCAATTTTTGGGTTCTTTGATAAATTTTCTTTAAAGATGTTATTTGTTTTTAAACATTAATCGATACAATATTATTCATCTCAATTAATATTTTGACCTCATTCGCATATAATAATTTTTTTTGACCTTATTCAGCATTTAATAATTTTTTAAATAAAATTTCCAAAAATATTTATACAATTTTATAGTTTTGGGGTTAATAAAAAACAATATTGAGGATGAATAAGATGGTAAATATTGATTTTAAACTTCATTATGAGATTATATAAATTTTGCAGTGCATGATTTAATAGGATTAATTGGTAAATTAACAGAACAATTCAATCGATAGAATTTGAAAAAAAAATATGCTCAAAAAAATAGGCTAAATTATTATTGATTAAGAAATATTTAAGTTCAAACTTATAAAAGAAAAGATGTAATCAATCAAACTTAAAATTTTAATATCATGTGAAACTTTGAAACGAGTGTTAAAAATCAACTAACAATAAAAGGGGATAAATATAATAAAGTTTTATTTTAATTTAATAGATATTGATATTAAATATGAACAAGTAATTAATTAACTAGATTAATCATTGTGTTGGAATAAAAATAAAAAAATGTGTTAGACATTTATTAATTTTTAAATTTTTCTCAAATAAGTAAATATTTATTAATTTTTTAAATTTTTCTAAAATAATAAAAAAAAAATGTTTAATATAGAATCTTTATTATCCAATAGTAATATTAATTTTTCCAATTTAAATGAAATCTCCCAATCTTCGTCGAAATTCAAAGACCAAAAAGAATACACAAATATTGGAATAAAGAAAAAATATAGTTACTAAAATGTTATCAATGCCAGAAAGAGAACAGATGAAAATTAAAGACATTGCAAAATACGTCGAAATGTCTAGAGCATTAGCTCATAAATTTAGACGGGACACAATCCCAGATATAAATGGAGAACCTTTAAAAGAATATAATATTCAAAAAGGAGGAAGTAAAAAAAAGATACTTCCACAATTGAAAGACTCATCATAAATTTATTGATGAATAATAATACTCTTACTATCCAGCAGATACAGTGAAACGAGTGTTAAAAATCAATTAACAGGAAAAGGGGATAAATATATAATAAAATTTTATTTTAATTTAGTAATACATATTGAAATTAAATATGGACAAGCAATTAATTAACAAGATTAATCGTTTTTAAATTAATAAAAAGAAATTATGTTGTAAATATAAATTTCTAATAAAAAATGGAAATTTTTTTTGATCTTCTTTGAGAATGTTCAAGTAAGATTTTTGTTTAAATTTTATCTAAAATTCTAAATTATTTTTCGTAAAAAGTCTTTTTGATATTTGAAAATATTTTTGAATTTCTTAAATGTAATCTATTTTGAAATTTTGCACCAATTTATTTCGATAAAAATATGATAATACTATAAATTTTTATAATAACTTCGATAAAATAATTAATACATAATAAATATAATTATAATTTATCAAAATATTCTTTTGTTCCACGAATTTGATGATGGTACCTATTTAGAAATTAAAAGAGTTAATATTATAATTATTAATACAAATCAATTAAAAGGATTACCTAATTAATCAGTTGCCCGCGATAACCCAACTCCAAATAGTTTTGCATGTGATTGTAAAAGTTAGTAAAATCATAAGGAATAAATTAGTGTAAGAGCTGAATAATATTCCCAATAATTTCATCTCTTGAATTAGGGCGGGGGTTTATTGCTCGATAATTATTTTTCAAGACTCCAAAAAAATTTTCGATGGGATTTAGCTGAGGTGAATATGGTGGTAGATATTCAATCCTATCTTTATATGCATCGATAAGATGGCTTCTATGGATAGATGCATTATCCATTACAATAATTGCATCTGGTGGTAAGACCCTGATAAGCTCTGTCATAAAATCAAGGAATAACAACCCATTATAAGCTCCTTCGATTATTTTATGATGGATTACCCCTCCAATTCCAATTGTACAAAGTATGTTTACATTTTTACCCTTAGAGGATGGAATTTTTATTACTGGACGGACATTGTATGGTGCCCAGGTGTAGATTGGTACAACGTGCAAGTTTATTCCAGTTTCATCTAAAAAATATAATTTTTCTCTTGGGGTATTTAAGATCTTTACACAATAGATTTGACGAATATTGATTGCCCCAGGAGTATTTCTTCTATCAGGCTCCTTGCCAGCTCTTTTTTTCGACCAGCCTATATTTTTTATATATTTGCTAATTGTTGTTTTTGTTCTTGGACTACCAGGAGGTAAATTTTCTATTATCTGCTGGATAGTAAGAATATTATTATCCATCATTAAATTTATGATGAGTCTTTCAATTATGGAAGTATCTTTTTTTTACTTCCTCTTTTTTGAATATTATATTCTTTTAAAGGTTCTCCATTTATATCTTGAAATGTGTCCCGTCTAAATTTATGAACTGATGATGTAGACATTTCGAAGTATTTTGCAATGTCTTAAATTTTCATCTGTTCTCTTTCTGGCATTGATAACATTTTAGTAACTATATCTATTTTTTCTTTATTCCAATATTTGTGTATTCTTTTTGGTCTTTGAATTCTCGACGAAGATTGGGAGTTTTCATTTAAATTGAAAAATTAATATTACTATTGGATAATAAAGATTCTATATTAAACATTTTTTTTTATTATTTAAAAAAAATTTAAAAAATTAATAAATATTTTTTTACTTATTTAAGAAAAATATTTAAAAAATTAATAAGTATTTTTTTACTTATTTAAGAAAAATTTTAAAAATTAATAAAAGTCTAACACATTTTTTTATTTTTAATTAAATTTCCAACACAACGATTAATCTTGTTAATTAATTACTTGTCCATATTTATTTCAATATGTATTAAATTAAAATAAAACTTTATTATATTTGTCCCCTTTTATTGTTAGTTGATTTTTAACACTCGTTTCACTATAATAGAAAATTTACCTCCTGATAGTCCAAGAACGAAAACAACAATTAGCAAATATATAAAAAATATAGGTTGGTGGAAAAAAGAGCTGGCAAGGAGCCTGATAGAAGAAATACTCCTGGGGCAATCAATATTCGTCAAATCTATTGTGTAAAGATCTTAAATACCCCAAGAGAAAAATTATATTTCTTAGATGAAACTGGAATAAACTTGCAAGTTGTACCAATCTCGCCTGGGCACCATACAATGTCCGTCCAGTAATAAAAATTCCATTTTCTAAGGGTAAAAATGTAAGCATACTTTGTACAATTGGAATTGGAGGGGTAATCCATTATAAAATAATCGAAGGAGCTTATAATGGGTTGTTATTCCGTGATTTTATGACAGAGCTTATCAGTGTCTTACCACCAGATGCAATTATTGTAATGGATAATGCATCTATCCATAAAAGCCATCTTATCGATGCATATAAAGATAGAATTGAATATCTACCACCGTATTCACCTCAGCTAAATCCCATCGAAAGTTTTTTTGGAGTCTTGGAAAATAAATATCGAGCAATAAACCCCCGCCCTAATTCAAG